CCTGGCCATTTTTTGGTTGTAGCCATCATTGTTGTTTGGCGGGCCCGGGCTGGGGATTCGAACCCGCCACCTTAGGTGTATGTGGCTGGCGCTGTAGCCGCTTGAGCCACAGGCACCGAGCCAATTGCTTCATTTAAAAGGGGAAGGGTAATATGTGCCTTGTGGGTTTGCAAAGAGGATTAAATAAGATAATACATGTAAAGTGTTAAGAACAGTACCTGGCACCTGGCAAGTGCCCTATAAATGTTAATTATTACGAGCACTGATGATTCTTATTTCTTTTCCTGTTCCTAGTGTCTGTGGGACTATCTGCTCCTGTCGAGGCAAAGAGGGTCTGGATTGAAGGCTGAAGTGAATACCTCTCTGAATGGGGCTGGCCCAGGGTCTCTGTGGGCCCAGAGCTCTGGCCTGATTTCGTCGTGGGCCTCCTTATTCACAGCCTCTGGCCTCTGGCCCTCCCTCTTCAGAGTGGGCCCAGGGGTCTGGGGGGCCCTGTTTTAGAGCTGGCTTTGCGGTCAGGCAGCCATAATCTGTCCCTCGAGTCACACCAGAGTCTCATTAAAACGTGCCCCATAAATGTTAAAAAATTTACACATAAAAAAATTCCATGCATGAAACTGAAACCGTACGTTTTACGGCCTCAGTTTGAAATCTTGCATAATATATAAAACCTTGGCCCTGCACTGGGGGCCCATAAATCAGATTTTATAAAACAAAAAGCTTTTACCTTTCAAAGGGGTTTGGGGAACTTGCAAATTTTACAAACTTTACCAACTGCCAGTCAGAGGCTGCTGGGCCCAAGGAGGGGATCCACGGGCTGGGTAAAACAGGCCTGGTGAGAACCTGGTGGCTGCCGGTGGCTGCGGGAATTGGAGTAGAGAGTGTGAACCACAAAGCCCACCTTGCCCTGGGGAGCTAGCCTGGGACATTCCAGCATGGCCACTGGGAGGGTGGAAATGGGGAGGTGGAGAGGGTCGGAGTGTGGGCGCCAGGGGGAGCGGTATTGACCGCAGCACTTCATTTGTATATGAGGACTTTGATACCATCAGGGAGGAGAGTCCCGGGATGAGGCAGTGGAAGGAGCACAAAACTGGGAGTCAGCAGGTCCTGGCAAGTCACCTGCTTCTCCGGACCTATGTCTGAAGGTAAAAAATGAGAGGGGAGTGGGTGGGGAGGCCTTGCTGCTCCCTGAGGGTGTGTTTTCCCTCCTAAGTTCTGGGATTTCTCTGATTCTGTTTTTCCTCCAGTAACTAGAGCAGCTGGCTAGCAAGGGGAAGGAGGTTCCCTCTGAGATCTACAGCCTGAGTGCCTCTTGCTGACCTTTGGGGCAGGTCTGGGAGAATGTGGGGTGCACAGAAAGGCAATCTGTTTGGGGAAGAGGAGGGTGGCTGGCTGGGATGGGGAGGATTCTCCATGCTCGGTGGGGCTAGAGACCATGGGCTTGCAGGCTGGGGAGAAAGCAGGACCCTGGTGGGGCTTGAGGGCCCCGGGGAGGGGGCGAACTTCCAAGGGGGACAAAGTTTTAGGGGGACCCAAGTGCCCTCCTGACAATCCTGCCCATGAAAGTCAATATTCAAGGGCAAAGGAAAGCCGCCCTGACACACATATATATAAAAAATAAATCTCTCAATTATCTCAGCTCATTTGCTTGGGGTCTCTCATTTTATGTCCCTGCTCGGCTGCGCAGTATATCTGTCCGGATAAAGAGTTACAGTCCGTTGGGCTACGTGTGCGGGGTTGTAAAAAATACAGATGCCAAATTAACTGGCTGTGGCACTTGGCAGCTGATTGAGCTGATAATGACGCGATCTGACCTTTTTCTAATTTCTAATTATGTGCATCTCGGCTGTGCTGGCTACATGATTCTCGTTCCAATCATGGCTGGTGGGCCTCTTTATCTCCCCACGCCCACCCTGACACAGGACCAGGAGAGGCTGTGGCAAAGGGCACTGGGTTGACTCCCCAAATAAAGTTTCAGGATCCTGGCCACATAGCCTCTTCTGCAGCTCCAGCGGCGAGGTTGGAAAGCTGGGACAATTTTCGGGAGAGACGCTGCATTTAAGATTAACCTTCTGGACGCCAGGCATTTTTAAAGGTCATTTCCATGAGCCATCTCATTAGTTTTGTATTATGATGACATGAGCTAGGTGAAGTAGAGCTTACAGGTGAGGAAACTGAGCTTCAGAGGAGTGAAGTCATCCAAGTCACCCAGAGTAAGGGGTGAAGCTAGGGTCAGGTCTTTTGCCTCTAAGCGCTCTTCCAAATCTCTCCATTTATATAATCAATCAGTTAACCAATCATCAACCAGTCTTTGCAGCTAAATCATCTGGATAAATCAGGTCCACTTGAGTAGATGGAACGTGCAAGGCTTGCTCCACCTACTACTACTGCCCCGGGGAGCTAACCAGGGACACTCTAGCATGGCCACTGGGAGGGTGGAAAGCCACTCCAATCACATGGAAATGGGGAGGTGGATAGGGTCACCTGCGATGGAAGACCAGGGAACACCGAGGCCTGGGCCCTAGGGTGGCTTCTCCAATATCAATGCCCTTGGCTCAGGCTTGGTGCATAGCAGATGCTCAACCAGGTTCTACTGGATCGATTCAAGAAATACGATTCTTTAAGTGAACAGAACCTTGAGAGCCCAGGCAGAGTGGCAATGGAGAAGCACAGAGCTGGCCACCTGGCTATTTTCCAGGCTGTGCTAGAATGGGGGGCTGCCTTTGGTGGGTCTTCATAGCTCACTGGCAGGTGATGGCAGGCACGGCATTTAAAGTTTCTTTCCCTAAGACTCTTACCTCTTAAGAAGGTTTAAATTATTTCACATTACTCAGTCTAATTTTAGGCACTTCCTTACTAACTCAGGCCACAGTTTCTTTTTGTGCTACGTAAGGGGAGTGGGCCTTGGCCCCCAAGGTCTAGTCCAGCTTCCACAAATATGACGGCCTCATCTGCTGGCTCCTTGGCTGTCATGGGTCTGGGTTCTGAGGATCTGCTCTCCAACTTTAATCTGATTCTGATCAGCCAAAGACCAGGGCAGGGCCAGAAGAGCCTGCAGTTAATATCTGACCAACTGGACGCCGTGCGTGGGGAAGCTGTCTCAGGGGATCTGCGAGATAGCAGGAGGTGGGGCTGCTGACTCCCAGCCAGGGAGAGGGAGACCCAGGGACAAGCAGAGGTGGGTGTGGGGCTCTCATAGATGCCTCCACTAAACACTCCTGACAGCGGCGGGTGCTTATCCTCTAGATGAGGCCTGCTCTGCTCTCTAAACACCAGCCCATTACAACACTTTACACATTTCAGTCCAGGGTAGGTGCTCCTGGCAGCTCTTCTGGACTTCATAAAGTACCATCTTCAACTCTTGAGAGAAGCAGTGGTGTGGATAATTCACAGCAGGAAATAATACCAAAGTCACTTCCACGTGTTCTGCAGATGCATGTGTGTGTGTTGTGTGTGTGTGTGCACATCTGTGCTCTTTCTCTCCCTTTCTGTTTCCCTTTTGGGAGCAGGTACCAGCTAAACTCTGGAAGTAAAAGGTCAGCACTCTAATCCATCAATTTGAGGAGGACAGCTTTCCAGAGTTGCCAAATTCACCGTGCATAATCTGGGTAATCCACCCATGGAAAAATCGAGAATTGGGGTTAATAATTCCAGGATGACTCGGGTGAGGAAGAGGCCGAGCAGGCCATCTATTGTCCTCTCTCCACAGAATTCCCAGAGTTAGAGGAGAATCGCAGGTGTCCTCTAACCCAGTGGTTTCCAAACCTGACTGAGGATTGCAACCACCCAGGAAACTTTTTAAAATGTAGATTCACGGGTTTTCACCAAACCAGTAAAACCACAGTTTCCAGGTGATGTGGCCTAGGAATATGGTTTTTATAGAACTGTAGTGATAATCTGGGTGACAAATTGGGCTTGGGAGCCTGATCTCCTATGTCCCCTAAATGGGCAGGCCCTGTGCTGGTCTTCACAACATGACTATGTCAGGCTTTTCTCTCTACTGACCGGCTTGAACATGCCTATTACCCACATCCTCCACATGACATTACACACCAGCCCCTCTCTGAGTAGCCCAAGACGGATCTGCTAACTGCCAGGACTCCAGGCCTCAGAACAGCTACCCTACCCATGCCGGCTGCTACAACTGTCCTTCCTTCCTTTCTGCATTACAAGAGATGGGTAGCAATAGGGCATACATGGGGAGAGCAAAGCCTGTCCATGGAACTCTTGGTTTAAGGAAGTTAGGAAGGGTTCTTAGCTGCCAGTATAGCACATCTAGTGCATGCCCCATGCTGAACACGCAAACTTTTGCTGAATGATAGGGTCATTTCTAGGGCATTTGGAGGGGATTGAAGGGTAAGAAGACTCTAGCCAGGGTAGAAGGTGGAGGGGCTTTACCAGATTGTCCAGTTCTGGGTCATCGCTGAAGAAGGGTTTGTGCTCCTGCTCTTGCTGGTGGACAAAGTTCTCGATGTCCACATCAAAGCTGGCGGAGGTGATGCACTCAGAGCCCTGCGTGGCCTGTTCACATTTCTCAAACAGCAGCGTCAGGAGCGGGAAAAGAGGGTGCCTGCGGGGACATTAAGAGCTCACACATGTGCACACAAAGAGACCGTGCAGCTAGCTGGGCTCAGAAGCCACCAGGCTCCCTCTCCCACATCCCCGTCACTTGTCCCAAGGTTCCACTCCTTGAGAACATCCCCAGTCCCCTTGGTCAGCCAGGATGGCACCATTTCCTGTCCCTGCTCCCTGGGTGCCTACATTTTCTCTTTGATTAGATGAGCTGCCTGGATATTTGGAGAGGATGGGTTACAACCCTTCAAAGAAGGAGGTGTCTGTTTCTGGCTCAGGGTCAACCCAGGATAGAAACGTGGGAAGTATCTAGAAAAGTCCTGGACATGAACTTTGTGCTAGGCAGACCTGTTTTTGGCTGTCTGGAGCCAGCTGAAGGCAGCAGATATGCACAGATGCTTGTATGTTTGTGAGTGTATGCGGGGGGTGGGGAAGGGTTGTGAACCTAAATACTCGTCCACATCTGGTGGGCAGATGTCTCCACCTGTCTTGAGCCTGTTGGCAGACTCAGTTTAAGTCTGGCACCCCAGTTACGCATGTAACCTTTCCCTGTACCCTTCCATCATCACACCTTCATTATTGGTTCACTGTCTCACTGTTTTCCTCCAAGACTCTGCCTGACCTATGGATCACGGTATCCCTAAGCCTTCTCAAATGCTCATAGTGTGCACTTAAATATTTTGGTGCCTGGGCGGTGCCTGTGGCTCAAAGGAGTAGAGCACCGGCCCTATATACCGGGGGGGGTGGGTTCAAACCCAGCCCCGGTCAAAAACTGCCAAAAAAAAAAAAAAAAAAGTGTGAGAGTGTTCAGTCCTATGACATACATGTGTGAGACAAGTGCTTCCCTACGTGACTCTATTTTGGCTCAGCTGTCACCAAATCACTGGGCTTTCCAGGATGTCCCCCCACCAAACTTATGCTAATCGCCCCTGAGTTTTTGGTTTTCTCCTTTGCCTTCCTCACTAGACTGTGAGCTATATGCGAGCAGGAATCTGGCCCACCTTATTCATCACGGTATGTCCAAAGTCTAGCAAAGGTATGTGGATCTCGGTTAATATCTGGTGAAGATATGTACTTTCGTGTGCAGGCCTATTCGCATGTGTAACGTGTGGCTTATTTATTTCTGCAGCACATGTGATGGGTGAGGTGCTAGATTCTGGGGAGTCCCTTTCCCTTCCCCTGTGGTTCCAGATAAGCATCTGCACAGTCCTCTCTGGACTGTCTTCTCAGACTCCTGGGACCATAAAACTTAGCTCTTTTCTTTTTGATTTAGTCTCATTTGCTGGGAGAGGAGGAAGAATGTGTTTTGAACTGGTCCCCAGATCTCTGCTGAAGGAGACACTCTAGCCAGCACTGTTCAATAGAACTGTCTGCAGTGAGGGGATGTTCGTCCATCTCCACTGCCCAGTTTGGTAGCCACTAGCCATGTGAGGCCAATGGACCCTTGAAATATGGCTGTTGTGGGCAGCACCTGTGGCTCAAGGAGTAGGGCACCGGCCCCATATACTGGAGGAGGCAGGTTCAAACCCGGCCCCAACCAAAACTGCAAAAAAAAAAAAAAAAGAAAAGAAAGAAATATGGCTGTTGTAATAAGGACATGAACTTTTAATGTTATTAAAATTAAATTAAATTTTAATTCATTTAACTGTAGATAGCTACATGTAGCTAGGGGCTACCATATGGGAGAACATGGTAAGTCCTAAAAAGGAAAACAGACCCTGCTTTTCTCCTCCAGCATGCCAGGATTGAATGTACTGAGTAGGACCGACCATCTAGCCTACAAAGCATTTGTAAAGGGCTGTCCTGTCTTGGAATTTTAATAATTCTGGGCAAAAAAACAGAAAGTGCTAACCCCCATCCACACTCAGACCCACATTTTACAAATCTTTCTACTCAGGCTCAGGGGTAGTGGGTGATAAAGGGAGATAAATCCTTGCATCAGATGAGCTGCTGAGCTTGGCAGAGTCTGTCCCTGGACACTCTCAGACTGGCCCTTGTTTTGGAAGCTGATGCATAAACTCCCAGGCCCAACGCTGCAGGCTGGAGGTGAAGTCTGCAGGATAAAAAGGAGAATATTTAAGCGTGGCCCATGGGCAGCCCCAAATGGCCAGAAGATCTACGGAACCCCGGGAAGAAAGCTGGCAGGGAAAAGAATGGGTTGGCTTAGCCATCCGGCTGAAGACAAAGAAAAACCCAGGTGAAGGGGTTAAACTCCAGTGTAAGTCTTCATTTGCAGCCACTAATACTGCAGCATATTATAGTCTAATCTAACCTGATCCCAGTTTAATGCAAGATTCTCCTGGCCCTGAGTGGAATACCAAAGAAAGCCTCGGTGGCTGTAATTTAAGCAGAGCCCTGCAGTGGTTTAGCTGAGGGACATGAAAGGCAAATTCCAGACGGTGTTATGAATTATTGCGCCTTATGAACCTTCCTACTCTCAACAGATGCCTGCTGCCATTTAAACAGCCACTAGATCAATTAGGAATGAAAGGCACAAATCGACTCTGTACAAGGGCACTAAATTACCAGGAACTAATAATCCGCAGCCTCGTGCCAGGTGGGGGGGGGGGTGCAGCCCCCGTCCCAAGCCCGCGGCAGCCATGGTCACTGCATGTTCCTTTCTCACTGGTTAGATGGGTGTGCTGTGCACCAGGTTGAATGCGGGCTGTCGATCAGAGCAAGGGTGTGAGTGTTGTGTGCTGTCCTGTGTGTTTTCATTGCTTGCACACCTGGTGCTGTGTTTATGTAGCACAACACATATGCACACATGGATTGTGTGTATGCGACAGCGGTGTCAGCTTTGTGTGCTGTGAACACAGCATGTGCATGTGTTAGCTGTGTGCAGTCTGTGTGCTGGGGTGGTGTGTTCTGTGTACACAGAGTGAGTGGCACGTGGGTGGGTGGGAAAGAGGGATCTGCTGTGACTGAGTCCTCCAGCTACTAGCACTAAGGGTAGGGAGGGGAGGGTGGTTTCCTCTGCTCTGTCCCTGCCCCTGCAGGGAGGAGCAGCTTTTCTTAGCATGGTCAGGGAAGGCCTCTCTGAGGAGGTGACATTTATGTTAAGCCTCAGATGATGAGGCGCAGTCGTGCAAAGAGCTCAGGGAGAGGCATTCCAGGCGGAGAGGAGGGGAAGCACTGGAGAGAGAATGAGCTTGGCATATTTCTAGAACCAAATCTAACTAGCTCAGTGTGGCCACAGCCAGGCAGATAGGAGGAGAGTGAAGGATATGAGGCTGGGAGGAAGCAGGAGTCAGGTAATGAGGTGCTCACCGGCCTTGGACAGGGCTGGGCTTGGGCGGTGGGAGGGAGCGGTCATTGTCACGTGCACTGGGGAGCCAGGTACACCTGCTGTGCTGAGCCACAGCACGGGTCTGCTCTGTATTCCCTGGCCGGTGTCAGGTAACCCTAGCATGAGTTCATGTGTGCTGACGGGCTACATACCTAGGGCTCCTGCTGTCTCTCATAAGAAGGGAACTTGATGCCCACCCTTCCCTCCAAGTTAACTGGAGTCTATGGGTCATGGGGCAGACCTCACAGGAGTGGCCTCAGCTCCTCTCTCCCCTCACCTGAGGCTTGGTAGTCAGGAAGGGAGGGCAGTGAGTGGCAGCCTCAGCCCCTGGAGCCTCCCTTCTCATGCCCCATCTTTCCGAGGTTCCTGTATCTGCTTCTTTCCACCCATCCCAGAGCCCTATTGGGCTCCACTGAGCTCAGATGGACTAATCTGACCCACAGCCTTTCCTATGAACCACAGCCATCGACAGTGGAGCTGCCTCTGGTTCTCATGCTCTCCTATCCACCTGAATCACCTGATAAACCCAGATGCTACCTTCTACTTGCTACCTGGAGCACAGGGTCTGCTGAGACACTGCACTGCCCCTGGAGAAGACCGGCTCTGTTTCCCATGGACTCATCTGGGTTCCATGGCTGCAGCATAGTACTGGGTTCTCTAAGGCTGTTCCCCGCCCTGTCATGGGAGAGTCTCCCGTCCTTCCTCCGTTTCCCCGTCTATGACAGCTAAGGGGTGACCTATATTTTCTAAGTTCCCCTCCAGCATCACCCCATAAAGCAGGGGGTGAGGCCAGCAGCCTCCATCGAGAGGTCCTTTCCAGCAGCCTCTGCTGCCGGTTTGGGGATCCCCCTGAATAGGGCCCATGATGGCTGGCCTCTAAGCCACTTAGGACAGCACGGCCTGTCTGAACTGGGGACGGGGAGTGAGGAAAAGGATTTCCAGTTAGATGTGTGGCTTTGGCCTTCCCTGAGCCTCAGTTTGTCTGAGCAGAAAATGGCTTTTAAGGAGCTCTTCTTCCTGCAGTCTGGCTCTCTTCCCCTGTTAGTCTATAGCCTTTGGGGGCTACAAGCAGGAGTGTGGCAACTCAGTCCCCAGAAGGCGATGAACAGGATATGAGAGATGGTCATTAGACTTTATTTCCAAAAAGCCGAGGACATTTGACCTCCATAAGAGCTCACCTTCTCCCTCCCAGATCCCCTCTCTGCTCTTCTCCCCCCATGTCACCTCCCATGTGACCGCCCCCTCCACCTCAATCTCTCTTAAGCCGTTCAAAATTTGGAGGAAATAAATCTCACTGCACTAATTCAGCGAGAGTTTGAGCCTCGTCAGTGCAGAACAAATAAAAGGAGTGAACTGGCATGACATTTTACTGCAGAAGAGAGGTCGTTTCCAGCCACTAATAAAAAGGATTTGACACAGACTAATAAAGAGAAATGAATTTCTCTAATGGCCTAATTTAGCACATTCAGCACTGTGCCTCCGCCTGGGTGCTGGGAGGGCGGGCGCCTTCGCCTCACCGCCAGTGCAGTGCGGACAGAGGCAGGAGGGAGGGAGAGCAGCGCTCAGCTCTCGGCGGCTCGGGCAGAGGGGAAGAAGGGATCATCTCCAACAACATTTTATTATTTCTTTTCTCTTTTCTGAGCGCCACCCCCCACCCCATCACCTCTCCCCGGGAGCATCTGGACTAAAATCAAGCTCAAGATATGCAG